TTTTTTTTTTTTTTTTTTTTACGGAACCAAGGGTTGAACTCAGACCTTTGCCCTTGCCAGGAAAGTGCTTATTCTACTGAGCTATCTCCCAGCCCTTAATTTAGCTTTTTAATTAATCCAGTCATATACTTTTCCACTTGATGATTTGTTTTTACAAGGAAATGTCAGATGTACAAAATAATATCAAGGATCATAGAACCACCTCCTATACTCATTCTTCAGCTTCAGAAGTAAGAAGGTACAGGTGCAGCCCTTGTTTGTTACAGCTTCTTTCATCCAATTCCTCTTCTTTTCCTTCCTAAGGCACCAGATCTTCAAAGCTCTGTATTAATAGTACTCTGTGCATACTTAGCAATTTGCTTATCATTCAACATTATCTTACGAAATCTATCTAACACATGTAGGTGTATTCATTTATATTTGGACTTGTATAATACTCTAGCATCTAAATATTTTATTATACTACAGGATTACTCTATGAGTATCTTTGCATGTGTTTCCCAGTAGACACATGTGTGAAAATTTCTCTGAAGTCTGCTAGGGTCTGAACGTGCATGCTCATCCTCACTCTTACAGAACACTGTCACGTGTCTCTTCATAGGGCAAGTGTTCATTAAACAATGACATGTGTCCAGTGCTGGTGTAACAGCAAACATGGAAGATCTACTCCTACTAAAATCAGAATCAGAAGGAAAGGGATGAAGTTCAGTTAGGAAGACCCTGGGACACGTAACAAGACATTACCAAAAGTTTGTACTAAGTTCTGAGAAGAGCTTTTGGGCGGAAGAACTGAATCAAGGTGGCACTGTGCCCAGAGCACTGAATATTCACCCTTCCTCATGGGCCTGCTAAGCTCCCTGGGCCCAGCTCTCAGGTCAGCCAGGAAAACTCTAAAATCCAGTGTTACCCTCTGAAGTAATGGCCTCCCCTTGCGCATTCCTGTCAGGGAAGCAGAGGGATAGCAGAGAAAAGCCCTGAACGTCTTTCCCGTTCCAAGTCAGCCATCTCCACACACATGGTATAAATATACAAAATAAAATCAGAGTGAGCTGCAGAACTGCAACCAACTGCTGCTAAATACAGGTCACTGATGAGCATCACACAACACACTGTCACCCTTTGTTTTGGCAAAGTTCTCGCTATACTGTCCAGCCCAACCTTGCACTTGCTATGAAGCCTCGGCTGCCATGGAACTCAGGATTTTTCTGCCTCAGCCCCAGAGTGTTGGGACTATAGATATGCAACACTACAATAGGCAACACAATAATTTTTTTTTCCAAGTAAACTACCCTGTATTTAAGGTAAAAATGAAACTTTTAACAAAGGAGATCATTTCCATGACTTGAGGATATAGAAGATTTTCTTAAACAAAATAGAAGATGCAGAAACAATAGCTGGGCATGGTAGTGATGCCTATAATCCTCGCACTCAGGGAGGCTGAGACAGGAAGATTTTAATTTTAAACCCAGCCTGGTCAACTTGGTGACTTAGCAAGACCCTGTCTTAAAATTTTTTTTTTTTTTTTTTTTTTTTAAAGGGGTGGGTATCTGGGGAGATAGCTCAGAAGTCTAAGTGCCTACCTGGCAAGCACAAGTACCAAGGTTTGATCCCCACTACTGCATGCCGTGCCAGTCCTGGAACCCCAGGTATGTCGTGCTGGCTACCAAAACCAGGATCACTATGAGTCTCCGCTGTGGAACAAGACCCTGTACCAAATCAATGAATCCATCAATCAATGGGGGGAAATAGCTACACAAAGGCCCTGGGATCAATCCCCAACACCAAAACCAAAACTAAAGCCTCCATAATTTATAATGGGAAAGACAGACAAATTGAATATTTCAAAAGTACCGTAACGAGCATTAATATATGCAAAAGCAGACTTAATGCAAGAAAAGAATCCAGAAAATATAAACTTGATTAAGACCAAAACCTCAACTGAAAAATGATTTAAGATCTGACTACATGCTTTATAAAAGAACAGATCTAAACAGTAAATACATTTAAAACTCACTGGCAATGACAGAAATTAATATTTAAAGCATAATGAGATCATTGCACCAAATGAAAAGGTTGGTAAAATACTGGCAGCACTTTTTTTTCTTAAGGTATTTGGTACAGGGTCTACAGGGTCTCACTATGTAGATCAGATCATACTCGTGGTGATTCTCCTGTTTTCAGCTTCCCAAGTACTGGGATTACAGGCGCATGCCACCACACCCAGTCTCAATCGCCATCTCAGTGCACCCTGAGGGCTGGGCCGGCACGAAAAGGTTGGTAAAAATAAATAAATTTCTGTATTTATTTTTGAAACAGGGTCTCACTTCATAGTTTAGGCTGGCGTCAAACTCATGGCAATCCTCCTGCCTCAGCCTTCTGAGTGTTGGGATTACAGGAGTGTACCACCACACCTGGTGGTAAAATTTTATTTATTTATTTACTTATTTGTCATTAATACTAAAAACTTTTTTTATTTTTTCCATAATTTTATTGAGAAACACATAGCAATGAGACAGTTCAAATCAAATTGGTAGGGCAGTTTCAATAATTAACACATTGCATACTCTCTTCCTAGTGGTTATTTGCTGTACAAGATGGTGGTAAAATTGTAAAATCTGAAACTATCAAAGGCTGACAACAGGAATTCTCATATACTGCTAGCGAGAGAACACACCAGTACAAACATCTGAAAAATCAGTTTGGGACCAGGGAAATAGCTCAGTGGAATAAGAGCTTTACTGGCAAGTGCAGGGTCCTGAGTTCAATCCCTGGTACTGAAAAAAAAAAAAAATAATAATAATAATAAAAAGCAAGAAAGCAAGCAAGAAAGAAAAATCAATCTGGTAATACCATGCTCCAAGACCCAGCAATTGCATTCCCAGGTACTATACTTTGGAGAGGTTCTTTCATATTGCATCAGTGAAGCATGAGTTACAAAAGCATACACAACAGCACTGTTTCTAATAGGCAGAATCTGCAAGTAGTACAACTGTCCACGAACAAAAGAATGAGTAAACTGGTATATCCCTACATGAAATGAAAATACAGTGGGAATGAAGTACATTGCCACAGGTCATCAGGACAACTCCCAGAAATCTACTAGAGGATGGAAGAAATAGGTCAGAAAAGAATAAACACAGTGTGCTTTCAAAAACAGGGAAGCATACCTAAGTGGTAAAACTGTATGGAGAAACAAGGGAAAATCACCAAAGAGTCAGGATCCTGATTCCCTTCAAGGGACAGGCAGGTGCAAACCAGAGGGAACACAAAGGGAGACGCTTTTAATCATGCATCAGTAACACAATATGAAAGAATCTATCCAAAGTATAGTACCTGGGAGTGCACCTGCTGAGTCACAGAGTATGGTATTACCAGATTAACTTTTCAAATGTTTGTTTTTGTACTGGTGTGTTCTCTCACTAACAGTATATGAGAATTTGTGTTCTCTCTTGTTGACCTGGATAAGTTGCATGGTTATTTTAATTACTAAAACTTACATGTTTTATGTACTCTTGTACACATTATCTATTTCATAAGAAAATTAGTCTTGTTATTTAATTTATTTATTGATACAGGGTTTCACTACACAGATTGGACTCCTAGTGATCCTCCTGTCTCAGCCTCCACAGTGCTGGGATTATAGGCCTATGCCACCAAGCCTGGTTTTAGGGCCTGCACAGCATACCTGGGGTTTTGGGGCTGGCAAAGCATGCAGTACCAGGGATCAAACTCAGGACCTTGTGCTTGGCAGGCAGGCACTTAGACTGCTGAGCTATCTCTCCAGCCAAGACCTGCCATTTTAGTCTCATATATTTAACATACTTAAATAAAAAAATTAGTTCAGACAATTATACTCATCATTATGGCTTGTGTCTAGATGTCCCCCTAAAGCCTCATGGGGTGATAGGTGGGGCTTTTCAGAGGTGGCAGGATCTATAGCAAGTGATGGTGGGATTAAACGTGTGTGATTACTCAATTAATATGCTGACTGCATAGTTCTGTATTGGGAGCCACTGAAGGTGGAAATTGGTCATATGCTGGAGGGTAGGATAAAGCCTCATTGCCTACCACAACCAAGCTACCTCAGTCTTGGGAAAAATATCCTAGGAGACACTGTTGGCTATTAGTCCCTAGGTAACCTTGAGTCTTGTAACTTCAAAACAGTACTTAAAAAAATGCCCCTGGGCTGGAGAGATGGCTCAGTGGTCTAAAGCACCTACTTGAAACAAGCTTGGCAAAGCACAGGGACCGCAGTTCGATCCCCCAGCACCACATGCCAGCCAGCCCCGCCCCCTGGTGGGCTGAGCTGGCCACACACACATACAATAAATAAATGTAATAAATAAAAATAAATAAATAATTAAAAAAAAATGCCCCTACTGTTGTTCAGGGGTCCTTTGCCAATCAAGAATGGCCACCACCTGACCTCAGCTATTATCCTTTGTCTCTATTGTCTAAATCCTCTTGTCATTTTCTCCTGGGGACCACTGAGAGACCAACGAAGCCCTACAGTTCTGTGCAGAATTAAGGGTGCCCTGGGGTTATATACTTATTAGGACTTCTTTGTAAATGCTGATAGTTTTAACCATTACTGAAGCATCCACATAGGCTTAATGTTATCAAAACAGTCTATTTCTTTTCCTTGTTCCACAGAGGACATCTTTTAAACTCTGAAATACTCTTTTGGAGTATTAGAGATTTGAGTGTGACAGACCAAGGCCTAAAGTGTAACACTGAGGTGGCTCAGACCTCTAAATACATTTTCTGGCCAGGGAGATGGCTCAGTAGAATAAATGCTTCCCTGGCAAGCACAAAGGCCAGAGTTCAATCCCCAGTTCTGCCAAAAAATATAAAATATAAAAATAAAAATAGATAAATAAATAAATGCACTTTCTTCCCTAGCTAGTCCCACAAGGCCTTGATCATTATTACTATGATCTCTATTCTGATCGCAATCTTTACAATACTTGTTACCTGAAACAGAAGTTAGTATTTGATAAAAATGTATAGTTACCTCTGTATGCACAGGGATTGGTTCCAAAATCCACACACTCATATCCCTTTAATAAAGGGATGCAGTATTTATTTGCACATCCTAAGCACAACCTTCTATGTAATTTAAATCATCTCTCAATGACTTACAAGAATACAACATGCATGCTACGTAAATAGTTCTCACATATTGTTTAGGGAGTAATAAGGAAAAAAGTCTGCATGTGGTAAATACAAACAATGACGCTTTTTTCCCTGTAATATTTTTGATCTGCAGTTGAATGTGCAGATGCAGAACCTACAGTGTTACGGTTCAGATGTCCCACGGCCTCCACAGCCTCATGTGTTTGGACGGTGACTGCATTATGGAAGCAGCTGAGCTGGCTTGCTATTGGGAGGCCAGAGCAGTTCGGGGAAGGTAGGTCACTGCGAGTGTGGCTTGCAAGGGCTTACCTCATTCCACAGCTCCTCCCTTGATTCTCTCTGCTTCCTAGACATCATGCCATTGGTAGCTTTTCTTCAACATGTCCCTCTGCTATGTCGTGCTGCCTTTAAGTGAGCTAACTAGGAGTCACAATAAACCTTTCCTCATTTATGCTATACCTTTTTGTCTCAGTGCCAAAGAAGGTGACTAATATATACAGTTACTGAGGGCCAACTGTTATTATAAAATACCAGTATTGTTTTCAAAAGAATTTTAAAGTCTTCAAAAACAGTCTGTGTTTTTGTTTATTTTGAGATATTTACTACCTATCTCCTAAACTTTGAACAAGTTATGTGGGATATCCTTAGAAGACCCATTAAAAACTGATGGTGGTACCTGTTTAATGTAAAAAAGAAACACCTATTCTGTCTCATCCCAACCACAACTCTTCCAGGTGCAACTGGAAGGACAACTGCCCTCAACTATCTCAGACACATCTCAATCCAGGAAGTTTTTACTTTCTAACTTTTTTTCCCCTTTGTAATCTGAGTAAATGACACCACCAGCAATCCAGATGCTAAATCATATCAATTTCACATCCTTTACTGTCTTGAAACTACTCCTCTTCAGTTTTACTAAAACTTGAGTTTTCAAATTGTCTACTCTGGCTTTGTTCAAAAACTTCCCGAGTAGTCTCTCCTAAAGGTTTCTTTTTTCGAGCCCCAAACCAATTCCTTGGGTTTCAGTGTTCCAGAAGTTAACTACTAAGAGCAAGGGAGGTGAAGATGGCTGGTATGAATCCTTACAAACTATGTGCACTTTTCTTTACCTCTCAGCCTCACTTCCTTCTTTGCTAAAGTAAAAAGAATACTGTTCACCTCTAATGATTATTGAGTGTAAAATGATAGTTTTAAAGCATTGTGAATAGTGTCCACACTTAGACTGGGTTGCACATTTGGGGGATTGGGAGAGCAAAGAGAGGGGTACACGTCAAAGATTACAAAAATGACAAGATAAATATGATGCAGGCCTAAAGCATTACTATAACTTGGGGATTTGAGAAAACATGCCAAAATAAAGATATACTGTGGTATGTAATTCAGAATTTGCATAAACATTTAACATGAAACGAGATTTCAATAAAAATTTTCTCTTGGGAGGGGTTGTTCTTCAGGATATATCTCCTTAAGTGCCCTACCTAAGGGATTCAACAAATGCTACTGTACAGTCACTCCCTAGTAAAATCCTCCAATGGGCCTCGCAATATCGTCAGGTTGATGTAACCAAGAACACTTGAATAGAGCCTTCCTTACGTCTCTCACTCATTTATCTCTACCTCTGCACCCAAGTTCTATAGCACTGTGGCCTCCCAAGTGTAGACTTCACCTCCCCTCCATCGCTAGACTTCTGTCTGTTCCTTTCTCCCTCTTACATCTCCCATCAGGTAAACTCCTTCAGTCCTTAGCAAAGCATCATGCCCTCTAGGGCAAGCTGCTGCTGTGTCCTCCTTTCAGGTAGCGCTATGAGCCTCGTGCGCTAGCACTTCACCTATCACACTGTCCCAGTTACCTGTGGCGTGTCTCCCCTGAACTGCTGAGCAATGCTCGGCTCCATCTCCGTCTCCCTCCTTCCCTCCCTCCGTTTCCCATAGGGACCTAAGCACCAGCCTCTGCTCTCTGGAACAGCCTGAGTTCCAGGGACTGGCAAACATTAGGCTGCCCCGATGGACGCAGGCGTCGACAGTCGGGTGCAGCTTTCCAGGAACGACTATTATACAGCCAACACCTGCCGGGAGACCTCGGCCTAGCTTCACGGTCTGCGCACGCGCGAGCGGCCGAGGGGCGGTCACCTAAGGAGAGGACGTCCTCCCTGGGCCACCGCGCGGGTTGGCCTGGTCCTACAAGAAATGCCACCTGCAACAGAAGTGCGGCCGCCGCCACCGTCCCAACACCATCTCCTCTCTCGCGATCTGAGAGGCTCCTCACCCCCACTCTGTCCCCTCGAAGCCAGGCGCACCGCGCTGTCTGTAGGGCCGCACCGCCAGGCTGGAGCGCGCCGGGAGCGGACGGACTGACGTCAGACACTAGGCTGGGAACGCGCCGGAAGTCCGGCTCCGACACTTCCGCCCGCGCGCGCCCGGGTGGGACCCCGCGGCTAGGTGGTACACCTTTGTGCGCGCCTCGGGACTGGAGGTGCAGCTGCTCTTGAGGTCCTCCCTGCGAGGGCGCAGCCAACTGGCCCTCGGTGCGCCAAGAAAACAAAGCTCCTGCTTTTGCACAGCGGCCACTTCGCATTCCGTAGCATCACTGCCGAACGTTGTGTTAAGTAACTTTCTTTGCTTACTGCTTTCCTCTCTTTGTTGTTTCCCGAGGAATGATTCCAAGCTCTCTTCTTGCACGCTTAAATTGAAACTCCCAATCTCCAAGAGCATCATTTCCTTTGCCGCTTAACTACCAACTGAAGTGTACTGCTGTCTGCTTTAACCTCCACCTCAGGCAGCACGACCCTTGTTACCTGCACCAGCCATTCCAAAATCTTGCTGTCACCTTTCTGTCTTAGGTAGGTACCAGAGGGTGTGCCAAAGAATGCCTACAAGAGCGTTATCTTGGTACCCGTACGCTTTCTCCTTCATTACCCCCAGACGTGATAGGTCGCTAGTTGCCTCTCCGTTTTTGTTTGTTTGTTTTTGCAAAACTGGGGATTGAACTCAGGCCCTTGCGCTTGCCAGGAAAGTGCTTATTCTACTGAGCTATCTCCCCAGCCCCAAGTTGCCTCTTGATTCAAATACATTATTTTAATCTAAGTAATTTTATTTTTAATTAATTAATTTGTGTGTGTGTGTGTGTGTGTGTGTGTGTGTGTCCAGCTCAGCCCACCAGGGGGCGGGGCTGGCTGGCATGTGGTGCTGGGGGATTGAACCGCGGTCCCTGTGCTTTGCTAAGCTTGTTCTAAGTAGGCGCTTTAGACCACTGAGCCATCTCACCAGCCCCAATCTAAGTAATTTTAATCCAAATAAATTGAATACAGATATGCTCATCTGTATATGAAAATAAAGGGACAACTTTTCAGGATACTGTGACATATATGGTGACGCATTAAGTTATACATATGGGACCTGACCAAACTGCTCTCCTGTCCTTGATGAGGTACCTCCATCCAATACCTGCTCTGCCCGTGCTCCAGTTAGCCATGCTTCTAAAACTCTGCCCCAACCTCTAGTTTTCTTCACCATTGGGTTTTAAGTTCTATCTTACTCATGTTTGTTAAGTCTATTTTGTGTATAAGGGCCTTATTAGTAAAACAAGAAAGAACTTGTTACCCAGTTTGCCCTACTGAACCAATTGAGTCTTTGGCTAGATTAAAACACCACTAAAGTATTTTCAGTGAGTGGGTACTACAAGACATGCAATTCTTCAGTGCTTCCTATGGCTGCAATACAGTAGAGAACATGGATCTGAAAGGTGCTAAAATGGATGAGATCAGACATTACAGGCCTGGGAGAAATGCGAGATGCTTTAAGGTATGTGGGAATCAAGCAGAGAACAAATGAAAGAGCTCATTAGGAGGTAAAGTAGAATTGGTGATTAGTTAGGCCTGGGATAAAGGAAAAGTCCTCACTCAGGATAACTACTAGGCTCCAGGCTTGTGCAGCTGGGTAGTATAAATAATGGTATCATTATGATGTCAGGACTCATGGCTTCTCCCTCAACAAAAGGCTGTGCTTCCCAGCTAGAAGAATAAAGAGATGGGACTTTTTTCTTTAATTTTTAAAAATCATTTATTTATTTGGTACAAGGTTTCACTATACAGCTCAGACTCGTAGTGATCCTCCTTTCTCAGCCTCCCCAGCACTGGGATTATAGGCATGCGCCACCACACCCAGTTTCCAGGGCTGGCACAGCACATGGTGCCGGGTATTGAACCTGGGTCCTTGTGCTTTCCAGCCAGGTGCTTAGACCCCCAAGCTATCTCCCCAGCCCAAAAGATGGGACTTCTAAAAAGAAGGGCAGAACTGGGAAGAGATAGGTAAGAAAACCAAAAGAGGATTTACCCAGCCCAGTTATTAGTGGGGGAGGTGGTATATGCCTGCAATCCCAGCCTTCTGGGAGGCTGAGGCAGGGTCACAAATTTAAACCATGGGCAATTTAGAACTCCAAAGCTTATCCTGGTCATTAATGCTCTTGGATGCTACCCATTGTGTTCCCCTGTTCTTTACATGTTTTCAGTTACCTAAAATCAAGTGAACACTCAAGGAACAAGGAAAATTTGAGCAAAGAATTCCATTTTGTTAAGTTTAAAAAGTGTATTGTGGTAACAACTTTGAAAATAAATTGATGAGAAAGTTTTTGACTTCCCCCCCAAAACATTTTACTTCAGGTGTACACTTACTTCATTGAAGATGCAAAAGATTAAGTGATCTTGAAAAAAATAATGTATATGTATAAATACAGATCAGTCTGCTGTTCTTAAAGTTATTGACCTTGTTTTTTGGTCTTTTTGAGACAGGATCTCACTATGCTGTTCAGGGTGGCCTTGAGCTCACTTTGTAGTCCAGGCTGGTCTCAAACTCACAATGACCCTCCTGCCTCAGCCTCCCAAGTGCTGGGATTACAGGGATGCATCACCATGCCCTGCTATTGACATTTTTTTTTTTTTTAACAGAACCAAACAACCTTGCAATACTGGGGATTGAAGCAAGAGCTTCTGCATGCTAAGCAAGCATTATACTTAGGTACATTTGCAGCCCTGCTTAGAGACAGATCTCAGTAAGTTTCCCATGTTGGTTTTGAATTTGTAATCTTTACTGCCTCTATCTCCTAAATAGCTGGTATCACATGCACTATGTCTGGCTTCTAATTGACCTTTTTAAGACCAGGTACCCAAAACTACTGGTTTTTTTTTTTTTTTTTTTTTGTGGAACCGGGGCTTGAACTCAGGCCCTTGCGCTTGCCAGGGAAGCACTTATTCCACTGAGCCATCTCCCTGGCCCCAAAACTACTGAGTTTTTTGGTTTTTTTGACCTTGCACTTGCCAGGCAAACACTAATGCTGGTGAGCTATATCCCCAGCTTTAAACTACTGAGTTCTTAGTAAGTTTATTTGCCGTCACAGGGAAAAGTAAAAGTTGTCAGTATTAGAAATACATCTACTTCTTGTCCTTTTTACCATTTACGTATGGCTTTCTCTCAAAGCATTTTTTGACTGCACACAAACTCAAGTGGCTGCACATACCTATATAGCATAGATCATACCACTTACTCTTACTGGGGTTTAAAAAATTCTTTTAGTCATGCTTTTGAAAATTTAGGATTTTGTAGAAATGTCTTAGGAAAACTTCACAAGCATGGAGGGGAGGCTGTACCGCACATCTTTGAGCCTAGTCCTTTCTCAACTGAAAATAATGGGTTACATGTTTCAGGTATTGGGGTTTTATATTTTTTTATTTTTAATATATTTAGTACAGGGGTCTACAGGGTCTCACTACACAGATCGGACTCATCGTGATCCTCCTGTTTTCAGCCTCCCAGGCACTGGGATTACAGGTGTGTGCCACCATGCCATCTCAATCCCCTTCTGAGCGCACCCTGGGGGCAGGGCTGTCACAGCATGCTGGGGATGGGACCCCAGTCCCTGGGCCTGCTTTAGTCTGCTAAGCTATCTGTCTGGCCCTGGGGTTTTATACTTATTAGGATTTCTTTATAAGTCTGATTCTGCTGTTCAGTTTGAAAACCACTGTCCTTGATTAAGGATTAGGGCAGAGGCACACAGACAAAGGACCAAAAACACCACAGGATTTGGAGCCCAGGATGATCACAGGTTGTTAGTCCTATGAATGGATAAAGGGGAGCTTCAGCAATCAGCTGCTTAAATCATTGTCTAAGATACTATAGTTTCTGAATCACAACTGCTCTGGGGAAAATAAGGCCAATACATGAAAGCGTACAAACTTCCCCTCAGCCACATTAAAACTGAAATTGTGTAAGTGGTCTCAAGAGATGAAATATCTTGTTCAATTTCCTCAGCTGCTTTGCTACATAAAATTAATATGCCCTTGTTTTGACTGCTCCCCAGTGGAGCGTGGACTTGAAAATATCCTAACACTAACATGAAGGTGTGCTGTATTATCTTACATGGAAAAGGGTATCAGTGTTTTTAAAAATTTTGTGTGAAAAAATGGAATGCTCTTGTTTTCTAAAAGTTCTGCTTAGAGGTTCAAACTCACATTTATGTATCAATTGCTGGGCCAAAAAGCACTGCCTATAAATACCGAATATGTTACCCACATCAGATTAGTACCCAAGATTCCCTCGTACACTTCCTTGGTCAAGCTGCAGGCCCACAGTGTAAACCAAAGATCAGCCATCTCTAATTCAGGTACCACCAACAGGTATTAAATATATGCCACATTTTTAAACTTAAGTGAGAGCATAAGTTATACAAGTCCTCCTGACATATGTCAGTAATTCAGTTAATTTACTGAAGAAAAAAATGGACTGTGAACATTTACTGTCATTAAATGTAATTGAGCACAATGGCCTATACTTGTACTCTTAGCTACCTAAAAGCCTGGGACAGGAGGACTGTAAGTTCATAGCCAGTTACTCAACTTACTGAGAGGCTCTGTCAAGATAAGAGAGGTCCCTGGTGTGCCATGATGTGTGCCCCTCTTCCCTGCACTGAGACAGTGATTGAGACTGGGTGTGGTGGTATGCGCCTGTAATCCCAGCTCTTGGGGATCTGAAAACGGAAGAATCATTACTAGTTCAATCTACGTAGTGAAACCCTGCACCAAATACATTAAAAAAAAAAAAAGATAAAAGCGGCTCGGGGTGTAGCTCATGGATATAGTGCTTCCTTGGCTCTAGCTTCAATCTTCAATACCAGAAAAAAGAAAAAAATCTATGAACGAGCAATTCTACAGCAAAGAACATAAATGAGAGATGTTTATACACAAAAGGATTAATACATTTAACCATTACATATTTATACTAAGGTACAAAAACAAAAGCTTGTCTAGGAAATTCAACTTTATTTATAAAAGTTCAATAAACAGACATTCTACTTCCAAATATTATAAACTAATTTTTACAAGGACCATTTACAGTTTTAACTTTTCTACATAAAACTTTACTACAGGATGAGCAAAAAGCCTCACAAGATGATCTAAGACATAAAAACAAAACCAAATAAAAACAACTTACCTAGCACGAATGCTTATTTACAGTAATTAGAATTATACCCTTTAATGTACTATTCCATCAAGGGGAAGAGAAAACATGATAATTTGGGGGAAGTAAATGCTTCACAATAAAGTCATCTTAAATAGTATAGTTTACGACTGTTCAGGATTGATCTTGTAGGCTAGTATTTGTGCTGATTAAGTAATCATTGTAAAAAGGGCACTGACTTTTCTATATAGAGCTTTCTAACAATGAAAATATAGATATTAATCTGGTCTTTAAGCCAATTAATAAAGTAACAATGTATAATAAAGTAGTGAAAACAAAAAATCATCATGTGACTGACTTACAAAATGAGAATTCACCCTGAAATCAGTTTTGTTCTTTTCGGTATCTATAAATTCCTCAGCACAGCAGAGACAATATATGCACTAAATATTTAATGAAAAAAATTCAAAATAAAATTATTGAAATTACTATTTATATGTAGTAATTTTTTTTAAAAAAATCTTTTACATTTTATCTAGGGAGATAATAACTCTCATGTCATGGGTGTCACAAAGAACTTCAAAACTTTGGGAAAAAAATTTATCCCTGAGAAGTGAGAGATAGAACTGTACCTGAACACAAAACAAAACAATCTCCCTCCAGAAAAGCAGAAGCAACAATCCTATACCCTTTTAACACTCTTTAGCATAGCATAGCACAGTATGAGCTATTGTTAACAGCAAGCAATCAGTCATAGTCCAATCCTGGAAAGTTGCTGGTTCTGATGATCGGATCATTTTGCTATGAAAATACAGTTGCAACGTTAAAAAAGAAGAAAAAAAAATCAGAGAAAAACTCTTGGTTTTATTGACAACTTTACATTTTTGTCCAGTGCAAGGACAATTGAATACTTCACTGATGAGCAGAGCAGTAATTTCTGCTGGCATCTCTTCTTAGAAGTCTGTTTCTTCACTGATGTTCACCCAAACAGTAAGAGCAATACAATAGCAATAGAGTTCACTATTATCAATGGCACTACAAAAAGAAAAAAAGCTTGTTACTATAAAGAAAAAAAAAAAAAGCAATAATAATTAGCATGAAGGGAAGATAGTTATTATCACATTCATGTTGTAAATAGGTATAAGAGGAAGTTTAAAAAATATACTGTATCATAAAACCCACAACTTATTTAAATAGAGCTTGTATAACTGGGAACAGGGGGTCATGTTGCACAAGTCCATCAATATGAAATGCCTAGAGAAGTGCTGGTGCAACTCTGCAAACACAAAGTAGACCTGGGCAGAAGTAGATGCATATATATGGCTGCAGTGACATAGGAGATGAGAAAGGTAAAGAAGATTCTGCAGCTTCTTGCTGAATTAAGAATGAATTTATCAATACTGAATCCAATATATAATTAAAATATAATCCAATATAATTAAAATGGCTAGAAGAGAGAAAAAAGCCCTTCCAAAAAACCCAAAAAACCAAAAAACTTCAGTTTTAAAATACAATGCATAGGGCCGGCGGTATAGCTCAGCGGACTAAGCACTTGCTCAACGAAGCGCAGGAGCCAGGGTTCAATCCCTGGCACCAGTTGTTGTGCTGGCCCCACCCTCGGGCACACTGAGCTGGCAATGGAGTCCAGGCGTGGTGGCGCGCGCCTGTAATCCCAGCCATGGGGAGGCAGAAACCAGGAGGATTGCTACAACCTATGTAGTGAGACCCTGCACCAAAAAACCAAACAAACAAACAAACAAAAACAATGCATTTTGGGGCTGGGGAGATAGCTCAGTAGAATAGATGCTTGCCTGGCAAGCACAAGGTCCTGCAGGTATTTGATCCCTGGTATCACCAAAAAAAAAAAAAAAAAAGCCAATGCATTTTGATATCTCTTTTTCAATATGTTTAAAAATATTGCCCATTTAAATGGCACATATGGGGCCTTGAAAGCCTACCATGATGCTACATTGTTACAACTTGGAACAATTTCTAGAAAACAGGGATGCTACTCCATCATTCACTTCTGACAGTTAATACAAATACATTATATGTAGCGCTGAGTATTCCATTAACAACTGACTTCATGAGAGAGTGGCAACCTAAGAAACTAGCAACTTTCAAGCAATAAAGGCAGGTTAGGGAGAAAAAAATTCCCACTACAAAGAGCATATGTGATAGCACACTCTGGAGCACTGTTACTTAAATCAAACCACAAAATTAAAACTTAACAGTGCTCTGCAAGTTTTTCTTCTTACCTCTCATCACGGTTCTTACAGATCGAATAAGGTTCATTAGCTGCGATTTAATTCCTGGTTCCTCTCCAAATCCACCAATTCCCTGGTCTGTTCCCCAGCCAACTGTATAACAGAAAGACAATTAGCTGTGTTAAAGTTTACTATGCACTTCTCTTGCTGTTTCATTAGTCATCTTTTAAAAGATTAGTTTGAGGCCTTGTTAAAGACAATACATAAAGTCAGATGTTTTTGATATTGGGTTAAATATTTTATTTCTTTTTATAGTAGCAACAACCACTTCTCACCTCATTTACATTTTGATTTTATAAAATAGTCTGTAGTGCAGAGATGGGAGAGCACTTGAATCAGGGGTAGAGCATTTGTCTAACATGCTACAGGTTCTGGATTCAGTCCCCAATGTCACAGAACAGGAACAATGATAATAGTAACAATAATGACAAAATAGTAATTCCTAATTTCTCAAGTCAGAACTGTAAAGCAAATCATAGTGCCACACTGAACAATAATTAGCTCATTAAGAATTTACTAAAGCCAACATAATTTTCAGTATAAAAATGTTGGATGGAGCTAAGGATCACTGTCTTTATTATGTGAGTAAATTTTAATGTATGTCTGGTTACAGGTTGGTTAGACAGACAGACAGACTGACTTTCTTTCTTTTGGTTAGACTTTCATAGCATGCTCTGGTCTGCTAGCAGGACATACCTTTACCCACTTTTCCTTGACTCTTCCCCTTCATTTCTTGACTGAAAGATAGATTTTTGCCCACTACACCCATTATGCTCTATAAACAAGTCTTTTACTCTCTCCTATATAATTTTCCTAATATGAACTTTTGCATATTTTAATGTGCTAGTTCTATTATTATAATATACCTTCTTCTAAAAGCATGCATGTCCTCCTGCAATTTGTCTTCTTATCCTCAATTCAGGCATACTTTTCCCTACCTAAATGACTATAGGGCTTAATTAATTCCCAAACTAACACCTGGGTGACAGAGAGCAAACCTTTGTTTTATATTTGAAAGAACCAAGTATCAGGAAAACAAAATTTTACTTTGCTAAACTGGCTTTTATTTGGTTGAAATAAATGACAAATGATGCTCGTTTGCTTTTTTTTTTCCCCACTGAGATATGTCATGATATGTCAGGTTCACAGGGCCGGATATATAGTTCAGTAGCATAAGCACCTGTCTGGCAAGCACAAGGTTCTGAGTTCAATCCCTAGTACTGCAAAACAAAACAAAACAAAACTTCAGGTTCATAACACAGCTGATGTTTGACTCTTTCCACTTCATTCTTTAAGGCCTAGCTTGGTTTTGTGTACAGTCCTTTAGCTCTCACAGTGGTCACTCTGAGCTTCCGCAGCACAAACTCCAGCTTGGTTTTAACTAACTGTCCATAGTAGTGATGGTGAACCTTTCAGTGATTTCAATGAAACAGACAGCCTGCTATGGCACACATGCCACAAGTTTCCTACCACTGGGCTAAACTATCGCTTGTCAATTCAGCAGATGCCTCTGTAATCTATTTCAATCCCTTGAGGTTTTTTCCCTTGGGATCTTGTGATGATTTCCATTACATACTGAATAAAACCAAACTCCTCAAACTGACTTTCTAGAACATGTTAATGTTTTTGTCCTGGAACCAGTACTCTTCCAGTACTGACAGACAACTGTATTCCTATGCTTAATTACCCATTAATTACTGTCAGGACTTTTCCTAATTCCCTACCACATGTTATAATAAACTTTTTATAATCCAAAAATCTACTGATTGTAGTAAGCGTCTTCTCCCTAAATTCATTGAATTCAACTGTCTCTTATTATAAACTCCTTGAGGACAGAGAATACAACTTAGTTATCTTTCTTCATCTCCACTATTCCTCACTCCCTACCCCACAGCAAGTACTTAGCAAATGTTTACAGAATTAAGCTAAAATATAGTAGGCTAAATTAATCTATGAAATGGTAAGATTAGGTAAACTTTAAGATTGGTAATAAAATTCCCCAACTCTAATTCATTTTTAAGACATGAATTGTTATTATTTTTTGTATTTGGTAAAGGGTCTCCCTGCACAGCTCAGCATCATAGTAGTGTAGTGATACTCCTGTTTTCAGCCTCCCCAGTGCTGGGATTACAGGCATGCACACTGCTCCTGGGGGCAGAGTCAGCATGGCATGTGGTACTGGGGTCCGCTGCCCTTCCCCCTCCCCCGTGCTATCTTGCCAGCCCTTAAGACATAAATTAGAAAATGGCCAAAATGGATTAGAATATATCCCAATGAACAAAAAGACCCTTGTGCTGGCAAATTATTGAAAACTTTCAGAGATAAAGAGACTATCTTAAACACTTAGGTAAATTGGGTTACCTATAAGGAATAAAAAAATGAGATGACACTAAACAGCAACATTAATCAGAAAATTAAACAGTACAATCTTCAAAACTCTGAAGAAAAAACTGGTTTCAGACTAGAGTTTGATAAAGAACCCACAAATCAACAAGAAAGGCTACTCCGGTATGCTGAGGCAGGAATATTCCAAGTTCAAGCCCACCCTGAGAAACTTAACAACTTAGTGAGACTCTGTCCTAAAAGTATAATGTAAAGGACTGGGAATGAAACTCAGTGCAAAGGGCCTGGGTTCAGTCCTCATAAGGGCATCTGGGGTGAGAGGTGGACTTCTATTTTATAACCTGCAAATCTTTTTTACTTTGAAGAATATGCACTTAATACATAAGGAAATATAAATATTATATAAGTCACTAAATAGTACAGAATACAGTCAGAGATCTTAAAGCCATAGCTTATCCATTTACAGAAACTACTATAGTGTTTTCCCTTAGTTCCAGGACCAGCTCAAAACACATGGTCAAGCAAAAAACTTCTCTGCTTCTGGGTAGAAACGGAAAGATGGAAAACAAAGCTCTGGAGGGCAGAGTGTATGACAGATAACTGTGGTATCAGCTCGAATAAGTGGTGAAAGTTCCGAGTGTGTCTGGATGACTGACTTACAAGCCACACACTGAAGAGGGAAGACCTGTGTCTTAATTCTTTTCTCATTACTGAGACAAAATGCCCAACATGCAAAGTTAAAGGAGGGAAAACTTATTTAGCTCAGTTTCCAGAGGTTTCAGTCTGATTCCAAGGTAGGGTGCCACATAGCAGAGGGGCAAATGTCCATGGCGGCAGAAAAAACCAAAAATAATCAAGAAAGGTGGGAGGTAAGCCTCTGTCTCTTATAGTGTATGCAGGCTACCCGTCCTAGGGCAGCTGTAGCATTCATGCCCTTAATCCGAGCACTGGACCTTCAATCACAAACTCTAGATTCACCCGCATCTGAAAAAGCCTAAGACTGCCGGAAGCTTTAGGGGAACAGCTAGATACAAACCATAGCAACCTGGATATGTGTGGCAGCAACCAACAAGATTATAGCTAGTGTGGATGGAATAAAAAGGAAAAGAAGGAAGTCTTTTTTGCTTCTTCAGAGGAGCTCCAGACTTCTCCATCGACTGTAGACCTTTGTCTCCAGTGCCTTCAGGTTTCCAGCTCAAACTCTTCAGTCTTCCAATGCAAACCCTTTGGCTTTCCAGATCCACATCTGAGTGGATCTTGCAGGTCTCTGGGCACGGATGGTACTTTTACATTCTTCTACTCCTGATTTTCCAGGCATTCATCATAAGCATTACAGGAGTTTCCTTTCTGGTGAAACTCAAAGCTTTTAAAATCACTGAGCTATGCTGTTTAGTCTTGATTGTCAACACAGAGCTGGCTAAAAGCCTTCAGCAATACCTACACCACAGCCTGAATGTTGCGCTTCCTTGAAATTTCCTCATACAGATTATTATTAGCCCATCAACCTTAACATTACTCTTCTGCAAAATCACAGGATACGAACGATGTACAAACACATTTTCTGCCACAATATAACACACATGGCTTAGAGTCCAACTGTCAATGGTGTCTCTGTTCCCAACTGAAAGCACCTGAAAGAGTTTTTGCAGTCTCCATTTCTGTGAGCATTCTAGTCTTCGGAACTCTAACCACAATATTCCATTAAGCTTGGCTCACACCATTCTAGGGCTTCTCCAGCAAGCATCTTCCTCCTGCAATTTAATCCCAAAGGCTTCTGAGCCACTGGGTCAGTAGTCACAGAAAAGAACCCACTTCTGTGATATGAAAATCTGTCTTGGTTCCTTGTCACTGGGAGAAAATACTCAAAAGAGGTCAACTTTATTTTGGCTTGTGTTTCAGTCTATAGGTGGCTGGTGCCAAGGCAGGAAGGAATGGTAGATGGGTTTGGGGTAGGAAAACAGCTTACCCATTGCATCCAGGAAGCAGAGAGAAAGTGAAGGAAACAGGGAAGGTGATATATCCTTCCAGATCACACCCTCAGTAATAAATCTCTGCTAACCAAAATTTGCCTCCTAACAGTAAGTCAACTACAAAGCCCCCATAGTCCAATCACCTTTCAAAAGCCCTACATATGAGCACACAATACTTTGAGTGAACATCTAGATATAAATCACAACATATTCCTAAGAAATAGTTGGTCTATAGTCTCTTCTAGTAATGTCTCCAGTTTTCAAATCAAACGAATACCTCATGGGATATAGCCCAGGCTGGTCTTGAACTCCCAACAATTCTCCTGCCTCAATCTCACGAGTGCTGGGATTATAGGAGTGCACCAGCATATCCAGCTCTGTCCACTCTTCTTAGTTATCTTTTTTCTTGGTATACAATTCTGTATATTCCTTTAAAATACCTCTTGTTTTTCTGATTCAAGTAATTTGAATTGTCTCTTTTATTCCATGGTCAACCTTACTAAAGAAAAGTGTGTCAATTCTGTTGATCTTGAAAATAGCTTTTCTTGATCCTATGATTTTTATACTCTGTATTTCTTTAGTTTTCACGATAATCGTTATTGTTTATCTTTTGCTTATTCAGGGTATGTGTGTGAGGTAAGGACAGCAGGTTGTGTGTCAAATGCCATACATCTGAACTGTTCCTACTGAGCTCTAGTAAGTTTTTTTTTTAATGTTTGGGGGAAAAAAGAAAGACATGCTGATTCATTTTATGTCTTTCTATAAGAATTCCCAAAAGCG